GCAACATTTTGCCTATAGGCTAATCAATGTTGTGGGGTTTTTTTTTTTTGGTAGGGTTTATTCTTTTTGTTTGTTTTATGAAACTATGTTATAACATAGGAGGGTACATGAAAGGGGGAGAAGTAAGGATGGGAAGAGAGAAGAATGTGTAATGTGCCAGAGTCAAATTGAGGGCTTACAATGAGGGGAAGGTGACTACCGTGATCCAAGACAATCCCAAAGGGTTAATCATGAAGCATACTATCTGCCTCCAGAGAAAGAACTGATCTTCTTTTAATACAGACTGAAGCATGCTATTTTTCACTTTCTTTAATTATTTTCCTTTTATTTGAGTCTTCCTGTACAAAATTACTAATATGGAAATGTCTTATATAATTGCACATGTATAACCTATATCTAATTGCTTACCATCTCAGGGAGGTGAGAGGGAGGGAAGGAGGGAGAGAAAAAGAGTTAGAAATTGGAGCTCAAAACTTTTAAAGAAAAACATGTTTTAAAAAATTGTTTTAACATTCAATTAGGGGGAAATTATGTGTGTATGTATGTATACAGAAAAAAATGAATTCAAACAGGAAAAAAAACCAGAAGAGCCTGCTGGGAAGTGGGTGAGGAAGAGGGGGGAAGGAATGAAAAAGGGAGAAAGGAAGGAGGCCTGGTTTTGATGGTAGGAGGTGGTACCATTGATGAATGCTCCTATGGGTAAAGAGAGATGATCTGCGCAGGGAGACCAATTAATCGGTAAACATTTATTAAGCCCCTATTATGTGTCAGGCACTGTGCTATACAATGGGTACCATGTGCTAGACGAAGCCTGGGTAATTTGCTACTTGAAAAGTTTACACATCCCACCTCAGGGATGGGCGGGGGCAACATTGGAACTCCTTGGGGTAACTGGAACCTAGAGAAATGGGAAAGCATGAACTTAGAGAGAATATTTGGGGGCAAATGGGGAGAAAAAGGTAACCAGGGAAGATACTATTAGTGGGGGGCTGTGTTATGAAGGATGTGGTAGAGTAAGGATTCTACCTTGGGGCAGTGTCCTCTCTGACACCTTTAATAATTGACATGGTTCTGGGAGTGAGGCACAATGGAAAAAGGAAATCCACAGGACAAGCTCTATGAGACAGTGTTAAGAACTGGCTAGAGGGGACAGCCTAGAATGCATAGCTTGGAAGCTTTGATAGTATGCAGAATACAGAGAAAAGAGAGATACTAAGTAATTATGGGGATCTTGTACAGAGAATGAGGGTCTAGAGTAGAAAGAAAGAGAGGATAAATAATGAAGAGAGTGAGAGATATCTTCTGTGGCAAAAGACACACAAAAAAAAGGAAATGAAATTGTTAAAAATACTAATGAACAGGACTAATTGAAGGGGAGGAAAGAAAGGGGGAATCTACTTGACTAAATAAAGGGGGAAAAGAATTATATAAACAGATAGAAGAAAGCGAGACAAAGTAACTAACAAGCAAAACCCCAAAGAAAGAGAGATAACAAATGAGAAGAGTGGATCAAAGGTGAGAAGAAAAGAGCCAATGGGAACAAGACCACCTTAAAAAAGATTAAGGTAAAGTAACTGAAGGAACATAGTATTGTGTTTGCCAAAACAGGAGGAGAAAATGTTGTAAGTTGAAAAAATACTAGAGATAGATGGAGGAAAATATAAATCTCACAACTATAAATGGGAATGGATTAAACAATCCAATAAAATGATAAAGAATGACAAATTGGATAAGAAAACAAAAACTTACCGTCTGTTCCTCATGAGAAACACATTTTAAAAAACAAAGGTATTCAGAGGGCAGCTAGATGGCACAGTGGATAGAGCTCCAGCCTTGGAGTGAGGATGACCTGAGTTCAAATGTGACCTCAGACACTTGACACTTACTGTGTGACACTGGGCAAGTCACTTAACTCCAACTGCCTCACCCCCCCCCCCCACAAAAAAGACATTCATACAATAAAACTGAGGAGATATAAAAAAGTGCTATTAGGACATCTTCTAAATAGAATTACAAAAAAATACATATTTCTCAGACCCCATGAACCATAAAAATTGAGCATCTCTAGGGCATAGAGATATTGCAAACATGTTAAAAGGCAGGAATAGTTCATATATCTTTTACAGGCTATAATGCAATAAAATAGTAATTGGTTCAGGGACCATGAACAAAAAACATAGATGCAAATCAATACTGTATTTAATAATCAAATCCTAAATTCTAATTGCTAAAGGACAAATCATAAAAGCAATAATTAAGTAAGAGAAAATTATAACAGTGAAACAACATGCCAGAATTTCTGGGATGGAGCTAAACCAGTCTTTAAGAGGAAAAACATATCTTTACAAATGTATGTTAACAAAAAGAAAAAGAGGATTAATAAACTGTATATACATTTTTAAAAATTAGAAAGCCAACAAATAAATATATCTGAAATAAATGCAAGAGAAAAGACACTAAAAATTAGAAGGGACATAGATAAATGAGAAACAGAAAATAAAGAGAAGTGATAAATAAAACTAAAGCTTGGTTCTTTGAAAAGACTAATAAAATTGATAAACCCTTAGCTAAATTAATTGAAATGAAGAGAGCAGAAAATCAAATGAATAAACTAGCAAATGAGTGATGTGAAAACACAACAAAAGAACATACTATGCATAGTTATAGTCTAACAAAACTGAGCTCAAAAGAAAAAGAGGAAAGCCTTCAAGAATATAAAATGCTCAAATTATCAGATGACCAGATATAGACCTTAAATAATCCAATTTCAGAAAGTAAATCATTCTAACTATAAAGGAACTACCAAAGAAAAAACCTCCTGGTTCTGAAGGATTAATAGGCAAATTATATGAAACTTTTCAAGAACAGTTAGTACCCATACTTAACAGATTATTTTCTAAAATTGAGAAAGAAAGCACGTTACCAGGATCTTTTTCTGAGGTAAATATAGTTCTAAACCTAAACCAGAGAAAGAAAAAAGCGTATAAAGAAAATTTTAGGCTAATATCATTCATGAACTTTGACTCAAAAATTTTAAACAAAAATTTATCAAATAAGCCACAGTGACTGTCTAAAAAAATCATTCATTATGACCAAGTGGGATTTGTACCAAGGATGTAAGCATGTTTCAACATTCAGAAAATAATCAACATAATCATATTAAAAACCAAAAAATCCAAAACTTCATGATCATCTCAATAGATGCAGAAAAATCCTTTGACAGTGTAACACATTTTTGCTAAAAACCCTACAAAATACAGGCATAGAGAGACCTTTAATATCATAATCATCTATCTAAAACCAAAAACAAGCATCATATGCAGTGGGGATACATTAGAAACTTTTTCAATAAATACAGGAGTAAAACAGGAATGCCTACTCTCCACTATTATTTTACATGGTTCTGGAAATTCTAGCAACAGCTATAATACAAAAATAAATAAAGGAATATAAACAGGTAAAGTGGAAATAAAACTATCAACAAAGATACTAGTTGAGGAAATTAATATTATCAGTAAAGTTGCAAGGTACAAAATAAATCATCAATATTAACTATATTTCTTTAAAATAATAACAAAACCCCAGAAGCAAAATTAAAAAGGAAAATTTCATTCCATCTAACTATAGAATGCATAAAATATCTGGGTATCAACTACCAGAATACATGAAAGACTTAGATTCAATGACAAAATATTCCTTAAAGAATTAAATTAAAATATTCCTTAAAGAATAAGAGAACAAATTAAATAGAGGGATATTCAGTGGTCATGTCTAGGTTAATATAACAAAAATGACAATACTACCAAAATTAATTTATACTTTTGATGTTAGACCAATCAAATTGCCATGGGGGTAAGTTATAGAACTTGTTAAAATAATAATAATTCATTTGGAAATAACTAGTTTGCTTGTTTTTTAAATTGAATAGGCAGTTAATTTGAAATGCATATAGAAGTCCTAGAATATACTTTTGTAATTCTGGATAAATGAATTTCAGTGGCATTTAAACATGAATATTCATGGAAATATTTCCAGTTTTCCATTGACATTCATCATATTCTACACAGGAATTTTCACACAACAGAAACACAAATAAATATTTTGATTGTGTGAGCTCTTGCAGCAGTCTCCCTGCTATCTATGGGCAGGTTCCTATTAGATTGCTAAAAGATGACAAAAAGGGGAAATGACAAATTTTGGAGGGTTTATGAGGAAACAGGCATACTAATGTACTGTTGATGTAGCTGTGACTTGGTTCAGTCATTCTGGAAACTCTACTTCCCAAAGCTATCAAACTGAACATACCCATTAATCCAACAGTATTACTATTATGCTTGTATGCCAAAGAGATCAAAGAATGAGAAAAAGGAGCCATGTAAACTAAAATTTTTACATTCACTCTTTTTCTACTGGAAAAAAACTGGAAATTAAGGGGATCCATAATAAATTATTAAATGGAAACTTTAAGAGCAAACTGAGAAGACTTACGTAAACTGATACAGAACAGTGAGCAGAACTAGGAAAGCAATTTATAAAATGGTGTTATAAAGAAAAATAACTTTGAAAGATGAGAACTCTGAAAAATGCACATGACCAAGCATAAGTCTGAAGGACTGAGGATGAAGCACACTAGGCATCTCTCTGGCCAGAGAGGTGAGAGACTTAAAGTGAGCACCGAGATATTCATTTTTTGATATGGCCAATGTGAAAATCTGTTTTGCTTTAAATGTACATCTTTATTATGCAGGTTATCTTTTCTCTTGTTTCATTGTTTATAGGTGAGAAGGGAAAATGGGAGAGAAAATAATTGCTTCTTAATAGGGGAAATACTGAAGTGATTTTTTTAATTTTAAGAAGAAACTCTCAGTAACTTGTATAGTGTTTATATTATATATATATATATACACATATATTTATACATACATACATACATACATACATATATATATATAGTTCTCTGTTACTGGTTTCTTGTTTTCTTCCTTTCTTTCAAATTACAGCTTTATATTCTTCCTATATTGGGAATTGACTCAAATTATGAATGTTACCGATTTGGTATCTCATCTTCTACTGATGCTCTCGTAATTGGTGCTACAGTCATGGAAGGTTTCTATGTTGTGTTTGACAGAGCTCAGAAGAGGATAGGATTTGCATTGAGTTCCTGTGCAGGTAAGTCATTCTTGAATTATCTAATTGCTTAAGTTAATTTTGCCTTCACTAAAAATACTTTCTATAAATTTACTAATTTGGCAAATTAGTACCAAATTATTTTGATAATGCTATTTTACAGCATAGTTTGACATCTTGGACTTCATCTTGAATCAACTTGCAGTGATTTTTTTGACCAAGGGTAGGTTTTCTCATGCCTCTTTCTTAAATTTTACTTTTGTAAAATTTGGTTTTAAGCAAGTGTTCTATAATGTCAAGATCTTTTTAGTTCCTGATTCTTCCAAAAGTTATATTTTCTGAGAATATAGAGAAGAAGAAAAGTAGTTGTTGAGACAAGGGAGAAGAACAGGCAAAGATGTTCACTTGCCTCAGGGATACTAATGAAGCACTTCTAATATCAAGTCATTTACACTAATCCTGGTTCGGTTATGAAGTGTCTATTCAAGGCTAGTCACTGTGCTAAAACATCAGGGATATAAAGGTAAAGGTGAAAGAACCCCTACTCTGAAGAATTTTATGTTCTAACAGGGGAAACGTGCATATATAGGATTATACAAGCTGCTCTGTGTGTGTGTGTGTGTGTGTGTGTGTATCTACTATAAAGCAGATCAAAGATGACCTTAGAGAGAAAAACACTAGCAAATGAGGGGACCATGAATGACCTCTTGGCCAAGGTGATGCTTGACCTGGTTATTAAAAGAAACCAGGGGTTCTCTGAGTTGGGGGATCATTCCAGGGATGAAGCACAGCCCCTAAGAAGGGACGTAAAATACAAAGGAAATGAAGTATTATATAGGAGGAATAGCAAGTTAGGCCAGTACAATTGAACCATAGAATGCTTGTAGATGAATAATGATTTAAGAAGTTTAGAAAGGTAAGGGACTAGCTTGAAAAGGGGTTTAAATGCAAAACACATTTTATACATGATTAAAAAGTTAAAAAACGAAGGTTAATGAATGGGGGAGGGAAAAGTGATTTGGTCAGACTTGCACTTTAGGAAAGTCACATTTTGGCACCTTTGTGGAGGATGATTCAGAGTTGGGTGGCATCTGTGCACATGAAGAGAAGGAGATGTATGTGGAGGATATTATGGAGACAGAAATAAGATTTGGCAGTGGGATAACAGTTAGGAGGTAAGGATGACACCAAGGCAATGCCTTCAGCAATAATCGGGAGGTGTAGAGCAATGGAAGATGGGAGTTTGTGGGAACAGAAAAGGAATTCTGATTTCAGCATGTTGAGTTTTACATGTTTCTATAAGGCCTTCATTCCAAAATGTCTAATAAGCAGCTTGTGGTATGGGACTGAGGGACAGAAGAGAGAACAGGGCAAGATAAATAGAACTGGGAGTCGTTTTCATAGAGATAATATATGAACTCGTGGAAGCAGATAAGATTACCAAGTGAGAGAGAGTAGAGAGAAGAGGGCTCAGAAAAGAGTTTTGCTGATATACTCACAGTTATTAATCGAAGGAGACTTAGGAATGACTAGACAGTTTGGAGAGAAAACCAGAAAAGAGTAGTGTCACCAATGTCCAAGGAGAGAAAAAGAGGGACCATCCTTGGTGTGAAATGCTACAGAGAGATTAAGATGTATGAAGATTAGGAAGAAACCACTAGACAGGGGAGGCAAAGTATAGATTATACAAAGCAGGGGTGGTAGGACCTACTGAGTGCTTTTTTAAGGAGAGGGGAAGCTTGAACACATTTATAGGTAGCAACAGTGAAGGAATTTGTAGGCATAAAGAGATTAAAGATTAGAGAGAAATATGAATGAAGATAATAGTAGAAATCTTTTTGAAAGATGAAAGAGGGTAGTGCATTCCTCAACAGGAAGAGATAAACAGAAAAATTCCATTCAAAATAGTTACAGATTGTATAAAATACATCTCTCTACCCAGACACTTATTGTAAATATATAAAAGAAATTATAGTACACTTGATTTTATAAAGATAGACTTATAACTGGAAATTGATTGTTCTTGGTTGGACCATGTGAATATAATAAAAATGATAATGCTCCCTAAATTATTTTTTTGCTTATTCAATGCCACATCAATCAAACTGTCAAAGGACTTTTTATACAGTTGGAAAAAAAACAATAAAATTCATCTGGAGGAACAAAACATCAATATTTCCAAGGGAAATAATAAAAAAAATCAAAGAAGAATGCCTCACAGTACAAAATCTCAAACTATACTACAAAGCAATAATCATGAAAATGACTTGGTATTGGTTATAAAATAGAATGCTGATTAGTAGGTTAGATTAGGTATAGAACATAAAAAGAAAATGAACATGAAAACCTAGTTTCAGTAAACCCAACCTCCCTCCCCTCCACTATTGGGATAAAGACAATTGCCAACAGTTAGGTTTAGATGAATATCTCACACCACATACCAATATAAGCTCAAATATATGCATGCCTTAGACATAAGGAGTGGCAATCTAAACAGATCAGAGGAAAAATGTAGAAATTATCTCTTTGATTTATGACTAGGTAAGGAATTAATAACCAAAGAAGAGTTAGAGAAAATCACACAAGATAAAATAAATAGTTTTGACTACATATTGTTTATAATTTCACAAACAAAACCAATTCAACTATAATTAAAAAGGAAACAATTAACTGAGAAATTCATAGTATTTCTTTTATAAAGTTCTCATATCAAAGATATAAAAGGAACTGGTTCACACTTATTAGACTAAGAAGAGCTATTCCCCATAAAGGTAAGCAATATGATATCAATTATACCTGTAAAATCAGGCAAAATGTATTAACATATCATCCATATTTCAAAAAAAGCAAGAAAATAAAGTGAGAAAATTATACTTTGATTTGCACTCAGAATTCATCAGTTCTCTCTCTGGAGGTGGGTAGCATTTTTTCACCATAAGCCCCTTGGAATTGTCTTGGACCCTGGTATTGATCAGAGTAGCCAAGTCTTTCACAGTTTATCATCATTATGACATTGTTAATATGCACAATGATTTCCCAATTCTTCTCACTTCACTTGGTGTCCATTCATACAGATTTTGTCATGTTTTTCTCAAACCACCTCCTCATTATTTCTTACAGCACAATAGTACTCCATCACAATTATATATTACAACTTGTTTGGTCATTTCCCAATTGATGAGCATCCTCTTGATTTCTAATTCTTTGCTACCATAAAAAGAGCTGCTATAAATATTTTTGTACATATATGTCCTTTTCTTTTTACTTTGATCTTTTCTTTTGGGGATATAGATCTATTAGTGGTATTGTTGGGCAAAGGGTATGCAGTTTTATAGCCCTTTGGTCATAGTTCCAAATTGTCCATTAGAATGTTTGGAGCAGTTCACTATTCCACCAATAGTTCATTATTGTACTTATTTTTCACTTATCCCTTATAGCATTTGTCATTTCTGGTAGGTATGAGCTGGTACCTCACAGTTGTTTTGATTTGCATTTCTCTCATCAATACAGATTTAGAATTTTTTTTCATATGACTATAGATAGCTTTGATTTCTTCTTCTGAAAACTACTTGTTTGTAACCTTTGACCATTTATCAATTGGGAAATAGGTCTTATTTTTGTAAATTTGACTCAGTTCTGTACTCAGTATATATTTGAAAAATGAGGCTTTTATCAGAGAAACTTTCTAAAGAAATTTTTTATTTTACTATATTGTCTTTGGGACTTTTTTTGTATAATGTAGCTTCCTTGATTATCTCTTCCAATTAGGTATGTCTTTGTTTTTGCTTTGATATCATGATTGCTACCTCTGCTTTTTTTTTTTTTTACTTCAGTTGAAGCAAATTACATTTGGCTCCAGCCCTTTATTTTAACTCTTCATGTCTTTAAGTTTCAAATGCGTCTTTTGTAAACAACAAAGTGATGGATTCTGGTTTCTAATCCTATTCTATTATTCTCTAATCCTAATTCTAGTGATTTCATTTTATAGGTAAATTCATTCCATTCACATTCACAGTAATGATTACTTTTTCCTTCTATCCCATATTTTTCTGTTTCTTCCTCTCTTTTTTTATCTCATCCCTCCTCAAAAGTCTATTTTGCTTCTAATCACTGCCTCCCTTAATCTACCTGCACCTTTTATTTCCCCCCCCCCATTTTTTGTCCCTTTCCCCTCCTATTTCTCTACTGGGGTAAGTTACATTTCTATATACTATTGAGTGTGTGTGTGTATTCTTCCCTTTTTAAACCATTCTGATGAAGCCACCCCTGTCTCATTTTTCCTTTCATTATAAAAGTTCTTTCTTGCATGCCTCTTTTAGGTGAGATTTTCACCATTTGACCTTTCCCTTCCTTTTTTTCCAGTACATCCCTTTTTCTTACCCTTTCATTTCTTTTTGGAGATCATTCCAACATAATAGACTTACACCCATGCCTTATGTCTGTGTAAACTCCTTTTAACTGATGTAATAATGGTAAAGTTCTTAGAAGTGACATGAATCATCTTCCAATATAGGAATATACAGTTTATTCCTATGTAGTTTAACTTTATTGATTCCCTTATGATAACTCTTTCATGTTTACCTTTTTTCTTAAATCTTCTGTTTGAATTTCATATTTTCTATTTAGCTCTGGTCTTTTCATTAGGAATGCTTGAATGTCTTCTATTTCATTAAATATCTATTTTTCCCCTGAAGGATTACACTTAGTTTTGCTGGGTAGGTTATTCTTGGTTGTAATCATAGATCCTTTGCCTTCCAGAATATCATATTCCAATCCCTCTGCTTCCCTATTGTAGAAGCTGCTAAATCTTCTGCAATCTCCTATTTTACCCTCTGTATCTAAAATATTAGGGCAGTTTTCCCTGATGATTTTTTGAAATATGATATCTAGACTTTTTCTTTGAGAGTGACTTTCAGATAGTCCAATAATTCTTAAACTATCTCTCCTTGATCTATTTTCCAAGTCAGAGGTTTTTCTGATGAGATATTTCACATTTTCTTCTATTTTTTCATTCCTTTTACTAGGTTTATTGTTTCTTGACG